GACTTGATCATCTGTGGATTTTGGTCTCTGCTGGGGTCCTGGAACCAATCCCCCAAGGATACTGAGGAATGACCATACAGGCAGTCCTCAATTTGCATGGCTCCAATCTGCATGGATTTCAGTTGCCATGGTTTAGTTAAATAACATCAGTCACCACACAGCACAGTTCAGATTTCAGTTTCCACAGTATATTAATGTGAGTAATTGCATAAAGTACAAACTTGGCTGCTAGTGCTTCAGTCCCCAAATTACTACATAAATAACAGATGCACATCGTGATCAGTGGTCAGTCACATTATTTCTTTCAAAGTCTATCTGTTGATGATTGGTCATTGCCCATCTGTGGTTCAGTTCACACACAGGCAGGAGCATGTTTTGTGTTGCTTCTTTGTCTACTAGTGATAAACCCATATGACATTTTCCCAGAAAATGGATAATTAAAAGAGGAAACTGGCCAAAAAGATGAAAGAAAGAAAGAAAAAAAGAAAGAGAAAGAGGAAGGAAGGAGGGAGGGAAAGAAGAAAGAAAGAAAGAAGGAAGGAAGGAAGGAAGGAAGGAAGAGAAAATGCACCAAATAAATGAAAAGTGATAACAATAGCAGTGAAATTTGAGACAGCACAAATAGAATTATAGGAGAAAATTCTGAACTGTGGGAATGTCAACACTGCTACCATTCAAGACTCTGTGTATGAGTCCAGGGGAACTAGTGACATCAACATAAATGGGGAAAGTGAAGAGGATGAAGATGTTCCAGAGGAAGTGACACTGAGGGAATAAAACTTCTCATTAACCCATTTATGCCTGAGGATGCAATTTTTTGAATTTTGAAAATCAGACCTTGGTGACGACCTTAAGCAGCAGGAAATATAAAATAACTCCCACATGCTTAGCATTCCAATAATGGAACGCCAGGCATAAATGGGCACACGTGGAGATGTTTTACATCATTGTAAGTACAAAAGATAAAATGTTGGAAGCTAATCCAAACTCAGGAGTGTGACAATAAGCTAAGACATAAAAAATGCTCACTCCGTATTGTACATTAAATAATGAGAAGGCAAGCACTGTTCAAATTACTCTGGATACATTTTTTTTACAAAGAAATAAAACACGTATTTTCAATGTTTCTAATTTTAAAAATTACAGTGTACTAAATAAATACTGGGTTTTTAAAATACTTTTTCATTTCCCTATACATTTACAACTGAAAGAGCATTTTTAATGCTTTGACAAATGTTTTTAAAGGTCATGAAACAATTGTAATTTTCCCCATTGATTATTACAGATTGTTTGCATGGCTGTTTTCACAGTCTTGCACTACTGTGGAAAGTGAGGACTACCAATATTTGAAATTTCAATACTAAATTTTTTTTTCAAATCCCCATTCAACCACTTTCTTTTGAGAGTCATTTAACCTTCTATGCCTCCATTTCCTCATCTGTCAAATGAAGATAATAATTATACCCTTTTCAGTTGGTTGTGAAGATTTAACAAGTTAATTCTTGCCAAGTACTCACCAGAGTGAGAGGCATAACTAAAACATGTAATGAATGTTGGCTGCTATAATATGTACAGATCTGAACCAAATGGCGATAGTGGTCAGAGAGTGCTGGTGTTGTTATAATCATCACCACTGCCACCAGCAACTACCTCATAGCTACTCCCCTTTGCAGGTGTCCTTCAAGTGTTGCCTTGAGTACCACACAGTACTCTGTTCAGCACAGCTCATTTTCTCTAGGAATTTCCATTTCTGGATAAAGACATATTGATGTTGACCAGTGTTTCTTAACCTTTTCTTCATGATCACCCCTCTCTAGGAAGCTGTTTTAGGCATTTTTTCCCCTAATCATCTTTCTTATGAAATTTTGATATTATAGACATATGATATATCTGTTAATGTACTCTATGTTTCTGTTTTACACATAAAAAGAGTAAAATCCTCATTGAACCATTTATTTGCCCTCCTGGGGGAATATCACTGCCATTGAGACTATATGATGTAGATGGAAATTTAGTAGACATGTTGATTGCCTCCTCAAACCTCTCATCTCCCACCTCCTACCCTACCCCAGCCCCACCCCCAGTCCTCTGCTTTCTCCTTTCTAAGAGAACCCTAATTTATTGTTTTGTTTTGTTTTGTTTTTGAGGCAAAGTCTCACTCTGTTGCCCAGGCTGGAGTGCAGTGGCTTGATCTCAGCTCACTGCAGCCTCTGCCTCCCAATCTCAAGCTGCCTCAGCTTCCCAAGTAACGGGGATTACAGGCACTCACCGCCACACCCAGCTAATTTTTGTATTTTCAGTAGAGATGGGGTTTCACCATGTTGGCTAGGCTGGTTTCTAACCCCTGACCTCAGGCGATTCACCCACCTCAGCCTCCCAAAGTGCTGGAATTACAGACATGAGCCACTGCACTGGCCCCTAATTTATTGGGTTGTGAATCTATTGTCTTCCACATGGTCATGCACTTTGCTAAGTCAATTAAACAATATCCCATTTTCTTTGCTAATGATTGATTAAGAATAGGTGTATAACACAATTCTAGGCAACAGAATATGAGGGCAGATTAGCCATTTTTTGTATGAAAAAAAGGTGGGGTTGGTGGGGGGTAGACTTGGTAGCTCACAACTGTAATCCCAGCACTTTGGGAGGCTGAGGTGGGGGAATCGTTTGAGCTTAGGAGGTCAAGACTAGCCTGTGCAGCATGGCAAAACCTTGTCTCTATAAACAATTTAAAAATTAAATAAATAAACTGGGGATGATGGTGCCCACCTATAGTCCCAGCTATTTGGAAAGCTGAGGTGGGAGGATCCCTTGAGCCAGGGAGGTCGAGGCTGCAGTGAGCCAAGAGTAAGACCCCATCTCAAAAAAAAAAAAAAAAGTCAAACTTGAAGAGGTGGCCTACCTTTTCCCCACGGATGTTGTCAGGTCTTGATGTGTTGACTTGAGCTCTGGTTGCTATCTTTTGTCTATCAAGAGAGTTTGCTTAAGGGCCTGACATGCTAAAGATGCAAAATGGGAAATAATCAGAGTTCTTAATGATGCTGAGTCACTGACTCACTGAATTAATCAACCCTGGAACTGCCCACATTGGGGCTTCTTGTTTTTTTGTTCTGTTTTGTTTGTTTTTGTTTTTTTTGAGATGAAGTCTCACTCTGTCACCCAGGCTGGAATGCAGGGGCCTGATCTTGGCTCACTGCAACCTCTACCTCTCGGGTTCAAGCAGTTCTCCTGCCACAGCCTCCTGAGTAGCTGGGATCACAGGCACCTGCCACCATGCTCAGCTAAGTTTTGTATTTTTAGTAGAAATGGGGTTTCACCATGTTGGCCAGGCTGGTCATGAACTCCTGGCCTCAAGTGATCCACCTGCTTTAGCCTCCCAAAGTGCTGGGATTATAGGTGTGAGCCACTCTAAGCTCAGCTGGGACTTCTTATTATATGAAGCGATAATTTTTCCTTATTGCTTTGGCTTGCTGAATCAGTGTTTCCAGTTACTTGTAGCCAAAAAGATCCCATCTATTACGGGGAAGAAACAGCTATGGACAACAAAAGACTTTTAAACAAATATATTAATAAAAAGTCTAAGCATTCATTTGAGTTGGGGATTGCTGCATTTTGGAGATGAAGACTGGAAAATGTTTTCTTTCTTCTATTCCTAAGTAACCTTGGCCATATTCATACCTTCAGCACCCAGACTCTGGAATATCTGGGTTTGAATCCTACTCACCCATTGTCCAGCTGAATAGCCTTGGTAAGTTACCTTTTCAAGTGCCAGATTCCTTTTAAGTAAAATTAAGACAGGAGTCTCTGTACTTCATTTTGAGAGTTTAAGAAATAATACAAATAAAATGCTTAGAACAAGTCTGACATCTATGTAGTATTTAGTATATGATAGTTTATTTCTCTTATGTTAAAGGCTTCCAACACTACCACTCAAGGTCTGTCTGCTCCCAAATTTTCTCCAGATATTTTCACTTGGATATTTCAATATTACTACAAATTTCAGTAATTCCCTACTTCCCCTAGATTACCACTTCCCTCATCTTGTGCTCTGGATCCCAGTGAAGGTTCATGTTGTTCCCTTAGCCTACAGTGTGATGGCAGTGGCGACCCATTTGGAGTGGCTGCTGCCATCATGCCAGCTGCAGTGGGGAGGGGTGCTGGGGCTGCACACTTCACAGACCTGGGGTGGGAGCTCCCCAGGTGCAGCTACAGCTGCCTAAGTAGAGGCTGCAGACCTTTGCCTCCCTGTGTTCTTGGGTGGGCTGGGAGCAAGCAGGAGCCCCACCCTGCAAGGCACAGCTTCAGCCACCCAAGTCATGGCTGCAGACCTGGGCCTCCCTGTGCTCTTAGGGGTGCTGGGAGCAGGCAGAATCCCTGCCCTCTGGGCATAGCTACAGTCACCCAAATCACAGCTATGGACCCATGTCTCCCATTCCACAGAGCAGGCGGGAACCCTGCTCTCCTGGGTGCAGCTACAGCCACCCAAGCTGTAACTCTGTACTCTTGGGGGCCTAGGAAGGACCCCACCCCTTCAGGCTCAGAAGTGTCTGCTCTTGCTACCTGGCCTCTCCCACTCCTGGCACCTACTCTGATTTTGGAGCAAGGTTGGGACCGAGCCCAGGTGCTGTCATGCCTAGCTGGGTGTGCACACACTTAGAGCAGTGCTGACATGATGACCCCCCACCAGCTTGGCCCCCTCTGGACTTTGGGCACTGACAAGTATGGGAGGGAAGGCTAGGCAGGGCTGAGGGCAGCTCAGCATTGGCCTACAGGTGCCCCTTGGCAGGAACAGCCTGGGCATCGTGAATGACAGTAAGAGGCAAACAGGCTCCTGGGTGGAAGAGGGCGGGTCCCTGGTGAAGCTCCACCAAGGGAGGGCCTGAAGGCTGGGGGCTGGGCTGCCAGTCCCCACAAACTGGAGTGGGAACTTGTGGTGCATTTTCTGAGCCCATCCATGGCCACCCATGGACCAACTGATGCTCATGTCCTCCCATCTGTAGCTCATAAAAGCTCCCAGTTCAGCCAGAGCCCCAGGGCCTCCTCTCTACTGAGAGCAGCAGACGTCAGGATGACCAGCTGCAGAGCAGAGCTACCCATACCAGGGCCTCCTCTCTGCTGGGAGTTACTGATGTTGGGACAACCAGCTGCAGAAAGGAGCTACCCTACCCACTCCAGGGCCTTCTCTCTGCTGAGAGCAGTAGACATCAGGATGACAAGCTGCAGAGAGAAGCTAACCACTCTCTTGTCTGAGAGCTGCAGACATCAGGACAACCAGCTGCAGAGAGGAGCTACCTACTCTAGGGCCTTCTCTCTGCTGAGAGCTGAACATTCAACATGATGACCTGCCTGCAGAGAGGAGCTACCCACTCCAGGGCCTCCTCTGAGCTGTCACTCAATAAAGCTTCTCTTCTCCGTACTCACCCTCCATTTGTCCACATATCTCATTTCTCTTGGATGTAGGACAAGAACTTGGAACCTGCTAAATGGCAGGGCTGAAAGAACTATAACACAAACAGGGCTGAAACATGCCCCTTGCTTGCCATGTTACAGGTGAAGAGAAGGAGAGAAGAGCTGTAGTCCTTTGGGGAGCCCAGACTTGGGAGCTCCCTGTGCCGGGGCTGTAACTCCTTCTTTGGTGCCCTGTGGTTCCTGCAGTCTCCAAGCTTCCAGGTGCCACTGTGTTCCCCAGTGGCAGTTGTGGAAGCTGTTTGCAATGCACCTGGTTCAGCCACAGCCTTGTAGAGAGCTGGTGTCCATGCTGGCACCTGGAGCTGCCCACCCCACTGCAGCAGCCACTGGGCCGGACTGTGCACAGTGTCCAGACCCGACACACACTTGCCCACACACCCCTCACTACTGCATGCCTGGCTTGCCCTTGGCAAATGTGGGATCCAGGCCAGTAGTATGAACTGAGTGCAGCCTGCCAGGCTGAGTGGATGGAACAAGCCCAGCAGACCTGAGCAAAACTTGAGCAAAAGCACCAACAGCCACAGAGGTTTCTGGCAAAAAAAAAAAAAAAAAGCAACACCCCAAGGATCCTGTAACAAATGTATTTCTATTTTTGTATATTTCAAAAATGTATCTGTCACAGCACAGCTCCTTGATCCCTCAGATGCTATAAACAGCCTTCTCCTCTAGTTTCTTAAAGTACTTTGTGTATCTCACATCACTTTTTCATTATGAGTAAATTACAGCCCTGTCTTCCCCTCTAAGTTGTAAACTTCTTGCAAATTGAAACTGTAATGGATATTTATTGGAAGATGACACAGCATGCTTTCTGCCACTCTCTGGTAGTATCCCAAATTTCACTCAGTATTCACTCTTTGGCCTATTGGTTTTAGAGGGAAGATGTTTCCAGCCCCTAGCTCCAGAGATGAGGTAATCAATCCCATGCTGTTTGCCAAGCCAATTGGTATGTGTTTGGGTTTCTAAACCATACAATACATGGCATTTCTCTGGATACAGGAATTAATTTTGGAAGGATCATGTGATCCAGTGTGAACCAATGAAGAACAAGGCAATCTTTGCTAGGTGTTTCTGGAAAAGGTGTTTCTGGGAAAGTTCTAACCTCCATATAAACTTTTCCTCTCTTTCATAAATCTTGGGGTTTAAAAGAACCAATGGTGGCACAATGAGGGAAGCCAGTCTGAAGATGAGATCAGTACATGGGAGATAACCCAAAAGCTACTGTATGACTCTAATCCTGAAGCCTGTCCTACCCCTGAACTTCCTTTTACGTGAGCCAAAAGAATTGCTATCAAGTTGGAGCCAAGTTCTTTCTAGCTTGCAACATGAAGAGTTTTAATGGATATAGGAAGCTTATCTTCAACTTTGTATCCACCACAGTATCTGTCACATGGCAGGCATTTGATAAATGCTTATAGGGTTGCATGAGCCAGTGATTCTGATATAGTTTTTTTCTGGTTCTCTGGATCTTCCCTGCAGAGTTTTCCTGTTAGCAGTCTGCCCTATGGAAGTTCCCAGAAGTTCCCCTCCTCATTTGAGCTTGTGGCATCTGGTAAGAGGATGTTCTTATTTTAAAAAACTGAAACAGAGCTTCCTGAAATGACAGGAATGTTGTCTATCCAATCCAGCTCTCGGAAATTCCTGATGGACCCTGGCAAATCTTAACTCACTGGCTCTGCTCCCTCTAGACTTTGAACTGCCACCTGTTAGATTGCAATTGTAGTTATCATTTCAACAGACTCTCATGAAGTTTTCAACTTATAACTTCCTGGTGATAACTTTGGAATCACCCTAATTTGATCAATAAGCTGTGTACTAATCACATTTTAGATGGGTTATTGTTATTAGGTATTCAATTACCAAATACTTTTGTTTTGAAGTTCCATACTACGAAATTACATAACTTCTAAAAAGTCTCCTGCTAATTATTTTCTTTATCTCTGGATGTGGATTAAGAGGTTTATTGTCAGTAAATAATATTTCTTTTTCTTTCTTCTTTCAATTTTCAAGTATATAATACATTGTTATTAATTGTAGTCCCATGGTATACAGTAGATCTCTTAGACTTATTCCTCCTGTCTAACTGAAATCTGTGTCCTTTGGCCAACATTTCCCCAATCCCCCTACCCCTGGCCTCTAGTAACCACCATTTAACTCTGTTTCCATGAGTCTGACTTTTCCACACTTCATGTATAAGTGAAATCATGTGGTATTTATCTTTCTGTGCCTGGTTTATTTCACTTAACATAATTTCCTCTGGGTTCATCTATGATGTTGCGAATGACAATATTTCCTTCTTTTTAAAGGCTGAATAATATTCTACTATGTATATAGATGACATTTTCTTGATCCAAGAGTAATATTTCTAGACTTGGCTGTCTTATTCTTTGTCTGATTTCCTCCTGCCCCATTATTCATTTGTTCATTCATTTATTTTAATTTTATTATTATTATTATTTTGTGATGGAGTCTCGCTCTGTTGCCCAGGCTAGAGTGCCATGGGGTGATCTCGGCTCACTGCAACCTCCACCTCCTGGTTTCAAGCCATGCTCCTGCCTCAGCCTCCCAAGTAGCTGGGATTACAGCCCCCCCCCCCACACCTGGCTAATTTCTATATTTTTAGAAGAGATGGGTTTCACCATGCAGGCCAGGCTGGTCATGATCTCCTGGCCTCATGTGATCCACCTGCCTCAGCCTCCCAAAGTACTGAGATTACAAGAATGAACCACCATGCCTGGCCTATTTATTGCTTTAAATGGTATACTAGGCCAGGTGTGGTGACTCACACCTGTAATCCCAGCATTTGGGGAGGCCGAGGTGGGCAGATCACAGGAGGCCAGGAGTTCATGACCAGCCTGGCCTACATGGTTAAAACCCCATCTACTAAAAATACAAAAATTAGCCAGGCATGGTGGTGGGCATCTATAATCCTAGCAACTTGGGAGGCTGAGGCAGGAGAATCTCTTGAACCCAGGAGTGGGATGTTGCAGTGAGCCAAGGTTAGGCCACTGCACTCCAGCCCCAACAGAGCAAGCCCTGTCTCAAAAACACCAAATAAATAAATAAAAATTAGGTGGTACTCTCCATCTTAGACCCCCCAGCTACTAGAGCCAGAGGTTGGCATTGACCACAAGATAGACATTCATAGGTGCTCCAAGTCCTAGGAAATGGTCTGGTATGAGAGTATCAGCCACATCACATTTCCCTGTACTGTGCCTGGTCAACCAATTAGACAAGTTTTCAAAGATTCTGAATGTGAGCCATAGATAGGAAGAGATACAGATTGAGGGATAAAAAGATTGTAAGTTCAGCCATATTAAATTTAACCACTCTGTTAATCAAAACACCAGATAGAGAGTAAAAAGACAAGCCACAAAGTAAGAGAACATATTTGCAACATTATGTAAAAGATCAATTATTACATAAAAGAATTCCTACAAATTAACATTAAAAGGTTAGATAACCCAAGAGCTCTCTCCAAAAGTTTTGAAGTTTTGAAGTTCTCTCCAAAAGTTTACAAATGACAAACTTTGAGTTTGGCATTTCTAGTAAAGTACTCTCTACAACTCATCAATTGTACTCCTGAGAATATATCCTAGAGAAATCTGTGCACAGGTGCAACTAGAAGTACGTACAAGAATGTTCACATACATTTTGGCCAGAGAAAACCTAGAAACAACCTAAACATCTGTCAATGAAGAATAGATAAATAACTACAATATACTCTTACAATGGAATACTATGAAAATAAATGAGCAGTAGCTACATGCAACAACATGGTTAATCTCAGTGTGCAGGAAGTGGTAAGAGTATGGAATAGGTATGTCCATGGTCCCTCATGACTGATGGCTTCGCTTCTGAGAGGTTCTTCATTTATTATCCCGTCTTGGAGCATACAAAGTGAGTATTGGATTAAGCCCTCTTAGGAGCTATGCAGATTTCACAACTTGGTCTTGCTAATGCAGACATGGTGGGCCAAGTGCTTTTTTTTTTTGAGACAGAGTCTCGCTCTTTTGCCAGGCGCCAGGCAGGAGGGCAATGGCGCGATCTCAGCTCACTGCAACCTCTGCCTCCCGGCTTCAAGCAATTCTCCTGCCTCAGCCTCCTGAATAGCTGAGACTACAGGTGTGCGCCACCATGCCCAGCTAATTTTTGTATCTTAGTAGAGACGGGGTTTCACTATGTTGGCCAGGATGGTCTCGATCTCTTGACCTCATGATCCACCTGCCTCAGCCTCCCAAAGTGCTGTGATTACAGTTGTGAGCCACCGCGCCCAGCGGCCCAAGTGCTTTTTAAGGCTTAAATACTTAAAGACTTTTTCATTGATGAGGCTTGCAATTTATTTGGCAATCAGTTCCCTCAAAAACTGAGAAAGTTTCAGTCAGTTTCATGGACCAGTCACCACTTCCCAAGCTCTTTCCTGGGTATAGTTGTTGTTGTTGTTGTTCTTCTTCTTCTTCCTCTTCCTCTTCTTCATCATTATTATCAGAGATAGGTCTCATTCTGTCATCCAGGCTAGTGTGCAGTTGTGCAATCATACACAGCTCATGGCAGCCTCGAACTCCTGGACTCAAGGGCCTGGTTATAGGTCTCATAGCTGCTTTATTTCTTTGTTTTCTTGGTAAACCAGTGATTGATTCTCTCTCTCATTTTAATGGTGGCTACCTTGAGTCCGTCTGAAATAATTGGCTTCAGTGCAAATCCTTAGCTTAGTCTCATCTTTGCCCCACATGGTGCTCTTAGTTTGACTGAGATGTTTTAATGGGCCTTTGAAAAATGTGTTGAGCAACTATAGTTAATGTCTTCTTGTTTGGGGTTACATAAGCAATTGACTTTTTAAACTCTGTAAAGATCCACATGACCCTATTTTTGGACAATTTCTGCTATCTGACCAATTTTTGCCTGCATTCTTTGGTGTAACACCTTGCTAAAAAGCAGGAAGGAGGCCCTAAGTTGCACATACCAACCATGTGGTTTTATGCAACTGCTTACTCTAAAGATAAAGGCTTAGTAGACAAGTGTTCTGTCTTTCCCTTCAATTTATTGCCAAACTTTTTTTGCCTCAACATAAAAAGGACACTGGCTTTCCAGTACACAATATCAATTTTCTTATCTCTCAACTGCTGAGACAATTCTACATATTTCAGATTTTGGTAATAGCAATGCTATATTTTCTATATTAATTTCTATATTAGCATAATGTTCAGTTTCTCTAACAAAGAGACCCATCAATCATTTCATAACTTAAAGAAATAAAAGAGGCTGGGCACAGTGGCTCATACCTGTAATCCCTGCACTTTGGGAGGCTGAGGCTGGCAGATCACTTGAGGCCAGGAGTTCAAGAGCAGCCTGGGCAACATGGCAAAACCTTGTCTCTACTAAAAATACAAAAATTAGCTGGGTGTGGTGGTGTGCGCCTATAGTCCCAGCTATTTGGGGGGCTGACATAGGAGGATGGCTTGAACCTACTAAGTCAAGGCTACAGTGAGCCGAAATGGCGCCACTGCAGTCCAGCCTGGGTGACAAAGTGAGACCCTGTCTCAAAAAAAAAAAAGATAAAGTTTAGTTGTTTCTCACATAACAGTTCAAGGTGAGCATTCCAAGCAGTGGGTGGCTCTGTTCCACCTAATCATTCAGGGATCTAAGTTTTTCCATCTTGTTGCTCCTCTATTCCCTAGGCCTTGCTGTTGTCTACATAGTCCTGGTTGAATCACTGCTGTGTCTCAGTCTCAGTGTGTGGAAATGGGGAAGAGACTGAGGAGGAAACACATTCAGGCATAGTCCTGGAAGTGGCACATGGCACTTGTGCTCACATTCCTTTGGAAGACATTTATGCACTTGGCCATATCTAACTATAAGGAAAGCTAGGACATGTGACTGGGATGAAGAGGAGAACAGGTTTTGGTGAGCAATTAGAGCTATATTATCCCAAAATGTTCAATCTCAAGCCTTTAAGTTACTTTGCTGCTTTGAGAATAGAATGAGACTCAGAATGTTGACCATGAAGTCAGAGCTACATAGAAGACCAGAAATATAAGAGACAGTTCTCCTGTCATGTATATTATCTACAAAAAGTCAAGCAATTTCACATCTTTTTTTTTTTTTTTTTTTTTTTTTTTTAGACAGAGTCTTGCTCTGTTGCCTAGACAGGATTGCAGAACCATAATCTCAGCTCACTGCAAACTCTGCCTCCCAGTTCAAGTGATTCTCCTGCCTTAGCCTCCCGAGTAGCTGGGACTACAAGTGCCCACCACCACGCCCGGCTAATTTTTGTATTTTTACTAGAGATGGTGTTTCGCCATATTAGCCAAGCTGGTCTCCAACTCCTGACCTTGTAACCCATCTGCCTTGGCTTCCCAAAGTGCTGGGATTACAGGTGTGAGCCACCATGCCTGGCTATCACATCTTTTTTAATGACTAAAGTAATATATTTACTTTTCTTTTAAAATTTCCCGTGTTGGCTATGTGTTCATTATCCATTGATTCAATATGAAAAGGGGGATTTTGATTTTAACTTCGTTTTTGTTTTTTTTCAGCATTATTGAGGTAGAATTGACAAATAGGAATTGCATATATTCAAGTTGTACAACATGATGTTTTTATATATGTATATATTGTAAAATGATTACCACATCTAGGCTAAGTACGGTATCCATCACCTCACATAGTTACCTTTGTGCATGTCTGTATATGTGGTGATACTTAAGACCTACTTTCAGGTGGTGACTCACGCCTGTAATCCTAGCACTTTGGGAAGTCAAGTCAGGCAGATCACTTGAGATTAGGAGTTCAAGACCATCCAAGCCATCATGGTGAAACCCCGTCTCTACTAAAAATACAAAAATTAGCTGGGCATGGTGGTGCACACTGCAAGTCCAGCTACTCGGGAGGCTGAGGCATGAGAATTATTTGAACCTGGGAGGTGGAGGCTGCAGTAAGCCAAGATCATGCCACTGCATTCAGGCTGGGCGACAGAGCAAGACTCTGTCTAAAGAAAGAAACTACTTTCCTAACACATTTCAGGTATACAATGTATTATTAACTATAGTCACCATGTTGTACATTAGGTCTCCAGAACTTACTCATCTTACAACTACAAATTAGTTCCCTTTAACACTTCCCCATTTCTCTCACACCCCAACTTCTGTAACCACCCCTCCACTCTCTGTTCATATGAGTTCAACATTTTTTAGATTTCACATGTAAGTGCGACCATGCAGTATTGGTCTTCCTGTGTCTGGCTTATTTCATT